TATAGTATTAAAACTTTGAATGGAATTCTAAATGAATAATTTAATCTCATGTGCTCATGTAACGAAGAAAGACTTATTAAAATAGCATCGATCTGAATTCGTGTTACATATGTCGTATAAAGTCTGAGCTGCATTTAATCAAAGTTTTAGTGTAGGATCTAAGCATATATACATGTATATTCCCGAGTAAAATACACATTTTGTTTTAGATCAGAGAATTGAGAGCAGAAACATGAAATTGATACTATAATTTCCAAGCGTATTTCTCGTTAATTAACTGAAAACAATCTTTTCTCAAGTGTTATTTATTTTTTTAAAATCCTTTCAGTGTAAGTACATGTATTTATTTTTATAAGTTATTCTTTTTTTGCAAAGTGTGTAAAAAACAATATCAGAAAGAGGGAGAGAGAGAGGGAGAGAGAGAGAGAGAGTCCGTGTAACTGACATACATGTACATCTGTGAAAAAAATATATGTACCGTAATTTTATTGAATTCACAATTAAAAATTCTAATAATTTTTAACTTTCACAACTATGGTTCATATTCAACTGTCCAACCCATCTTCACATCCGTTCTCTGTACCTATACGCACGGGTGGGGTGGGGTGGGGGTGAAGGAGCTTAGCCCCACCCCTACTTTTTTCCCAATATTACTTTTTCTATTGAAAATGTTCATTGATAGACCGGTTGCCAACCCCCCCCCCCAACCCCCCCCACACACACAGTTTATACTACGGTAAAGTTATATAAGGGAAATTTAGTATTGTATGCCAAGGAACTGGTACTGAAATAAGTAGCTTTTTCAACTTTGGGCAAGGTTTTTCTTTGCTTGCCAACTTTTCCAGGTAAGAAAAAAAATATTTCTTTGGCTACCCCCCCCCCCCCCCACTTTTAAAGACGATGCTACGTGCCTGGCTAATTCGTATAGCTTTCTAGAAAGGGGGGGCTAACAGACCCTTTATAAAATAATTTATTATCTAAAAAAAATGCAAATCGTTTCCTTCTTTTAAAATTTTTAAATACAGCGTAAGTTGATCACTATTTTGTTGGATTATCGTAACATGTAGTCCGCGGAAGTTATGCTAGTGTTGAAGAGTTCCGATTTTGAGGGGAGATAACTCACTTTTGAAAATGGGGAATACCCGCCCGAAGGGCGTTATTATAGTATATTTGATCACGTACCGACTTCTTGTCATTCCAAATGAAATTTTGAAATAAGATATTTTATTTCTTATATATATATATTTACATTTTTTATTCGTGTTACAAAGAAAAATAGGAACTATATATTTAGACTTACTTTGTTATGGGAATGCAACATATCTACGACGTCATGTGACGTCACAATCTAAATTTTCCAATTTAAATGGCTTGTGCAGGTTGCTTTCTATATGCACGAAAATCTGACCATGTGACAAACTGCATGGCATTTAAAATTGTACTTCAATTTCATTGTCATTGTTATATAAGGAAAGACATTTGCAAAATAATGTAAATATTATCTGAACTTATATAGAAAATGGCACAAAGGGGGGAAAATGGCACAAATGGCCCACCCTCCCTCCTCCCCCATTCAATTTTGTGATTTTTTTTTTTTTTTTTTTTTTGAAAAATGTGGGAATGCATTATTATTAGTATTTTTTTTTTTTACTGATCGTTGAACTGAAATGGAGCTCATCTTGATAGACCCGCTTTAAGGTTAAGTCCTTTTGAGTCTGCTTAACTTTCCTCTTCTAAATTAAGATTCTTGGATCCACCGGTACCGTTGTTTCTCTCAAAAACTAACTATATCCAATTTCGAATTTTAGAAATGAATTATCACTTTAAAACTTAGCTGCAGATCTGTAGCTCTCCGAAAAAATTATTGATAGACCGGAGAGCTACAGTGCCACTCATTGAAAAAACTGTATATTTATTGCGCACAAACAAGTGCGCTCGATTCTTGATTAATTTTTCCAAATTCTTACCTCAATTGCACAAAATGGAACATTTCAAAAAATTCCTCTATCCTCTATCAAGTTCTCTCGTAGTTGACATCTGAACGAAGCATATTTGACCGAATTATCTTTGAAACCTAAATGGCAGTATGAATAAGCGAAATGTCCGAAGATTTCAATATCAGGGCCAGGAGGACTAGTAACAACAATTATCATAGGCGGATCCAGGAATTTGTAAAAGGGGGGGGGTCCAACATTTTGACCTATTAGGTACTGTTTCATTTGCAACATCTAACGCTCCCAATTTTCACCCCACTTTGTGTACATGTAAATGATCTAATGAAAATATGTAATTCATGGCTTGAGAATTAAGAAGAAAAGCCCCCCCCCCCTCCGTTTTGTGTTTAAACTCAGCCGGAGCATAAAGTTTGTACTATATAGCTGCGCTCGCTACAACGGTCACGCCGTCAATATATTACTGTACAGTGGCATGCCAAAAGTGAAGATAATTTTATTTTTTCTCTATATACTTCATTGAAAACAATATTTTATGAAATCATAAGGAAATGGTCAATTTTTGTCCAATTTAATTATTTATTTCAATACTTAAACCGGAAAATGTGTAGTAATCTTTCTTTAAAAGATCATTTCACTTTTAATATGTACTAAAATATAGCTCATCACTAAACATCAGTTCTAAAATTCAAGATCAATGTTGACTATATTCATTGTCAGTATATGACTTAAAAATTCATGTCACACACTTAAATTACAATATTTTTTGAATTATTAATGCTTATCAGATAAAAACTTTTTTTAAAACTACAACAATTTCTTAGATTATCAAGAAATTTTGTATAAAATCTGTCAAGAAATGTTGTCATACCAGTGATTTCACAAAATATTATTTTCAATGAAATATAAAAAGAAAAAAATAAAATTATCTTCACTTTTGGCACACAACTGTATATGTTAGCCAATGTTCATGATACATTGTAACAACCAGCCTTCCACATGTATTTGTTTTACATAGCTGACCCTCTCTGAAGATAAAACTCAATGGTAGACCCCTCCCCTACACCGTGCCGTTCACAAACTTAAGAGTTTAAGCATAGTTTGGGGTATTTATATCAAACTTAATGAAATTGATAATCACGTACATAACCACCCCCACGTGTAGTTTTGAAATGTGACGTTTATGTGATAAATATAGTATAATAGGCCCCTATGTGTTTTATAAAAATATGCAAAAACCTGAAATAGCTGCAGTGCTTGTTCTACTGCCTAACCCTATCATGATCTGATGATCTGAATATTTGATAAACAAAGTTTGTTCAGATCACAGGACTTCCTATAAATTTTGTACTCATATCTATTCATGGCTTGAGAATTAAAAAGAAAAGCCCCCCCCCCCCCCCGCCCCATTATGTGTTTGAACTCAGAGTCATAGCATAAAGTTTTTACTATATAGCTGCGTTTGCTACATATGCCTAATAGCCTAGTTCAATATAAACAACTCTTAATAAAAAAAAAATAAAAGCTTAATACCATATAATATTTATGAATTATGGACAGTTTATTGAATCTTCATGCCTTACTGGAAGCAGCTTCAGAGTTACATGTATTCTAAACAAAACAGCGCTGATGTTTCCGGTAAAATCTCGTCAACTTTCTATTTCTTTTTTTTCTTTCTTTACTTTTTCTCTTGATTTATATTTCTAATTTTTTTATGGGGTATTGTATACTTTTTTTGGTCCTCGAAAAAGGAGGGGTCAGGACCCCCTGGACCCCCCCCCCCTCTGGATCCGCCCTTGATTATGAGGAATGTTTTGTTGTGGAAAGAGTCAAAAAATACGTTAGGAACACACGGTTAGTAATATTGAAAACATGGAGAAATAAATCGATAACCGAGCGCATTTTTTTGTGCGCAATAAATATACAGTTTTTTCAATGGGTGGCTCTGTAGCTCTCCGGTCTATCAATATATATGTTTTCGGAGAGCTACAGATCTGCAGCTATAAATAAGCGAAATGTCCGAAGATTTCAATATCAGGGGCAGGAGGACTAGTAACAACAATTAAGAGGAATGTTTTGTTGTGGAAAGAGTCAAAGAATACGTTAGGAACACACGGTTAGTAATATTGAAAACATGGAGAAATAAATCGATAACCGAGCACATTTTTTGTGCGCAATAAATATACAGTTTTTTCAATGGGTGGCTCTGTAGCTCTCCGGTCTATCAATATATATGTTTTCGGAGAGCTACAGATCTGCAGCTACTTAAAACTACCTTTTTTTGCATCTGTACATCTTTAAGGCTGAACTTTAATACCGTAAATAAAATATCGAAACAAGTGCATTTCAGATCAGTTTAACTGATATTCCCTCAAAACCACACATATACATACATGTAATACACAAATAATTAAATGGGTCAAGGAGGAAGTGCGATTCAAGCCAATACGTCCTGTACGAAAATTTACGCCCTGACTCCAGGCGGAATTCAGAAGACGGAATCCGCCTATCATCTATAAGGAACTTAATAAGACTATTAGACGGAGTCCGGGTGGAGTCAGGGCGTAATAGGGCTCGAAATATTTAAATGAGTTAAGGCGTATTCCGCCTTTCCTAATATGGATTACCTGCAAGGCGGAATCCGCCTTACCTGCAAGGCGTATTCCGCCTTACCTGCAAGGCGTATTCCACCTAACCTGCAAGGCGTATTCCACCTGACCTGCAAGGCGTATTCTGCCTTACTTACAATAGGCGTATTCCGCCTAACCTGTAAGGCGTATTCCGCCTAACCTGTAAGGCGTATTCCGCCTAACTTCAGGTAGGTGTATTCTGCCTTACTAGCAAGGGGTATTCCGCCTAATGGTTAGAGGGATTTTGCATTAATGTTTACATAATCTACATGTACTTATCACAGTGTATCAGATCTTTTACAAACTTAACACTTAACAATAAAAAAAATTAAATTATACAAATTATATATCATTTATTTTTTCATTCTTTAAAAATTCAATGACTACAAAACATGTTTATATTTGAAAATGTCCTGCCTTGCCTTCACATGAAATTAAAAATTAAAAGATAAAAAATATTGTACCAAAACTTGATTGAACAATTAGCTGTTAATTTACAACTGGTTGAATATTTTCACAAAATTCTTTCTGTCTGTAAGGAAATAGTGTGTCATTTTTAGTGTTCACCTTCCTAAGCTATCTGGTATAACCTAGCTATCTTTTCCATGATTCCAGCTTTCTTTGCCATTCTTCACACAACACATGATGAAGTCTTTTATAAATTCTGTTCTGTATTACAGATCAGCTAGGATGCAAACATTCTTGTTTGATTTTTCTCAACACCAAAACATGTCTATCAGTTGTCTGATATCTTCATGTATTCTTACCTCTCATAACCTGCTGTAGCGGTCAGTCGGTTACGTCCATAGATAAACTGGTTCCCTGGTTCCCCTGTACTCTCAACTACATTTGAATGAAGCACATTAGATTTGCATTTCTTTTTCCCATGAATCTTCAGCAAGCTCTCAAATGAGAAGAGCAGAATTGCCTGTTTACTGGTAAGGCCGGTGGATGGACGGTAGCTCCTGGTCTTCATCCTGACTTGATAGTTGCCGCTATCCTCATTTTACCTTTATCAGCCATAATCGCTGAGTACTTGTACAGCTCAAAGTGCTGAAATGTATAACACTGCACTCAGGGCACTGCAGAAAAATCCTGATATTTACTATTTCAATATTAAAGAGGTTTTAATCTCTTATTCAATTATTTCATAATTTTCATACATTTGAAAAAAGAACTAACATAAGACCCCTTTCTACAAATATATTTTTAATTAACATGTATAATCAAATGATAATAAATAGCTACTCATGGAATATGTAGATCTAACTTATACATGAGTAAAACTCTTATCCATGTATGTTATGGAATGTAAATGGTGACTTACAGATCTCAAACCTGACTCCTGATCCAAACTAAGCAGCGAACTACTATTTTAAAAGGGTGTTTGTGTGACAATTCCACTAACCACTGGTTAAAACACTGTGCTTACACACAAATCATAACAAAATTTCCAACCGTGATTTTAAAACTGGAAGTAAGTGACGGTCGCAAATTTTAAAGGGAAATCATATTTCCGGAAAACACATTAAAATAAGAAAAGGACATGTTACTTAATAATTGACCAATGAATTAATTTAGTTTTTTTTCCTGTCTTTTATCTCTGCACTTTAAAAAATTTTACTCCAAAAGGAAACACTCATAATATTGAGAAAATTTGCAATGGAGGGGGGGGGGGTGAGGCTCTCCTACATTTGGCAATAAGAAATGGCGACCTGAAATTTTATGCGCATTTTTTTTTTAAAGATCTGGGTTAGTGGAGAGTGTATTGTGAATACATGGGACCTCAATGCTATTGGAATTAATTAACAGAGTAATGGTGGAGTCCAAATTTTGGCTGTACAAAATTAAAAGAGAGAGAGAGAGAGGGGGGGGGGGAAAGAACAAAACAAAACACGGCTTAAAATTTAACTTACCGTTGTTTTCCACATTTATTCCTGGACCGAGGTCCTTCCCTGTCCATTTAGCACATGATGTTCACTGCCGAGCATAATTTGCTTCACTTCAAAGCTCAATAGAATAACACTATAAGTTGTCACTCTTTTTTTCCCAAAAACACATAACGAATGAGCAATCATCTTCTTAATAATAATTTACAGGCATACATCTTGCCTAAGTTCCTTTTTAACTGAATGAAATATAAAGATTCATCAACGAAATTGACAACAGTCATCACTTTCAAAATCTGCATTCAAACTGACCAGTGCATCCAAAAAGAGGCTCTGGCTGAAAACTTCCGCCCCTTTAGAGGGGGTCAAGCAGGTGCGCATTGGAAACGTATATCTGGTATACAATATGGCAGCAAAAAAACTTACTCATCTAGGAAATGCAATATTCAATGTAATATAAGGCATAATACTCGAAGTCAAATAAATTGATTAAAAGTTATGTTTGACTATTTTTTACGAATATCTCCCCCATTAGTGCCTTAGGAAAACAGGGTCATCTAGAGAACTAAAACATGTGGTCATAATTTAAACTGTTCACAATCCTAAGATTAATGCAGATTCCTTCTAAGAGATAAGCCGGAAAACGTCTAACAAAAATACGCCTAGGATTTAAGGTGGAATCCACCTAAGATACGAGGCGGAAAACGGTTAAAGCTTAGACGTTTTCCATGTCCGCCTTAGGTACGGCTTGGTCCTCCTAGCACTTAACCGGAATCCGTCTCAGTCCGCCCGGACTCCGGCCGGAAAACGGTTAAGATTTTCGTACGGGGTTTACTGCCGGGGATTTCCTTGATCTGAACGAGAATAATTTTTTTTAGCCGATTAGAGAAACGATACCAAATAGCTATTTTTAGCATTCGGCATCCTCGGCTTTATATACCACGTTCACCGAGGTCTGCCGAGTGTATACACGGATGTTTTTGTTGTTTTGATTTTTTTTTTCAGCCAATGAAAAGTAGTCAATTTGACAACATTGCTTTCAATTCATAATTTAAAATTCTCGCAAGAAGGAGGAGATCAAAAGTGTTGAGAATCACTCGGTAAGAATGTAACTCATATAGATCTATAATATCTTTCGAAAGAAAATCTGTGCAAATTTTATTTTGAAAAATCTTGTTTTCATAATCGTTATCCATGTTATCAGCTAGAGAATGAACAGATCATTTTCATTAATCTACACAAATGATGAAGCACATGCACAATCCTTTTTCAAAGAACTTGTTCTTTTTTTTGGGGGGGGGGGGCGTAGACTTACTTTGATAAGCACTTGTAGGGCAGTGTCTACACTATGAGCATTATATCTGCTGTGACATCTTCAGTTACTTGCTACATGTATAACTGTTTTTTTTTTCAAATTCGCTTATTCCTGATTAAAAAAACATTCCTATTGAAAAAGGGAATTTTTTTTACTGTATATACATGTACTATATGTTCATGTTGTATATATTTAGTTAAGAGAGGTATCATGTTGTAAATTTTGAATTTACTAGGGGAGGTAAATGCACAATTTACAACACGATAGAGGGATTGTGCTATTTTTTAATTTTTTTTTTTTTTTTTTTGATTTATTCTTTATTAAAAGCAAAGAAACGAAAAAGATGACTGGAAAACGGGAAATGGTCGGTTTACTGATACTTTCACCTCTGTTCCACTTATCAGTAATGGTTAGTATCAAAATGTGAAATTTATCCCATAGTTTTACTATTATTCGGATTTTCGTTTTCTTATTGATAATGGTCTCATATTCCTATAAAAAAAATACAGTCTTTTGAAATTAAATTTGTTCAATGGTGAAAACAAGATTACTGAAGTAATGGTCCCTTATTCATTGAAGAGTAGGGAGAGATGTCTTGGGTCACTATCCACGATGAAATACACTTCATCATGTCCTAAAAATGAAGCAGAATGGAGATCTCGAGCTACAGAATTTGGCTGCCAAAATGTTCTTCAAAATTGTACATCTAAAGAAAAATTCAAGTACCATTGCGTATTAAATGTTTGGGGCAATGCCACGACTGAAATGTGTGCTGAGGAAATAATTATTGTCGGTAATATGATACTTTCTCTATTTATAATGTTGAGAAAAACAAACATACGAACATATATAATATCATTTATTTATTTGTTTACTGTAGGTCGAAAGTGTGCAGAATTTTCGCATGGAGGTGGTTTTCTACAAGAACATTATGAACACGACTGTAACGAATGCCCGTATCACCTCAATTCCAGTCAAAGTTTTCTTTGTAAGCTATAAATATCATTTTAGAATTTCACTTTCGTATAGTCATTCCTTGATCTCATTTATGAATTTCCTTCTTAGTACATGCACATGATAGCACCTTGAAGGATTTTGTTTTCTCTCACACAAACAAATGTACCCTTACATATTATTATACAAATGCACTCTCACACATGTTTCTGTATGAGAGAGAGAGAGTGTATAATTTGTCATTATTATCTCTTTTAAGATCAAGAATGTTTCAAATTTAACAACCTGATTAAAGACACGAATGCGACTGCAGTGAGTAAGAAGTTTAATGGGTCTACCTCACCAGATTCATCTTTTGTTCAGTAAGATTCTTTTTTATATATTATTGTGAACATGTACTTTTCCACGGTAAATAGTTTTCATGAAGTTAATATATAGCATTAAAATCCTTGTGAATTGTAATTGTACTGAGTCCTTATCCAAGATCTCTTCATTTGCTTTCACCAAAAGCATTTAATATAGTTTTCATAAAATATGAGCTGAAAGCTAAAATTAGTGGCCAAAATAATCTAAGAAGCAAAAAGAACAAATAGCGAAAAAAAAAACCGCTCGGCTATGCAAGAGATAGGACACACCAAGCGGAACAACTCTTACAATCACCAAGCTTGATTGGAGTGACCCAAGTTTTGTTATTATTTTTAATAATCATGCAAAATGACTTATGGATTATAAGATTACAATATGTGAGTACCTTCATGACCAGAGTATCTCATAGGTTGTCGGAAGTGCATCTGTTACATGTACCCAACCTATAAACAGGCACGATCTGAATGACATTTCTTATAATATGTAACACAATGACCGTATAAATTATTAGTTTGATTGATATATTAATGTGTACAGTACATTTATCTATGTTTTAATATTATGTTATGAATTATAATTGATACTATCAGTGTGTAGCGCGACGGACAATAATATATTAATTACGAACTTGTTTACAAACTCTGGGAGATAGAATACAATAACAGAGCATCTTCATTTGACGGACAATTAGTTTTTACGATGTGTTGTTCTCGAGCATTGACACTTCCAATCAGACTTTGTGCAAAGCTGCAGCCATCTAATTAACTGAAGAATGTGCAAGATGCATAATGTTAATGTAAACAGTGGACATTGCCTTATCCTATAAGGAGACAGAGCTTCAGTGAGGGGCGGACAATATTAATATTAATGAAGTGACACTCTAACTAACTAATTGCTATTACCAAATATGTGAACCCTATGATGCAGCTTCTTTTACAAAAGATACGCACACTGAGTATCAATAACTGTTAACATTTTAGCTCCGAGACGGTCCATGAGAGCTTTTACGAACTTGTCTCCGAGACCTATGTGACATAATGACCATGTGAGCTTTCACCATCTTGGCTCCGAGATCTTTGTAATTGAACTTTTTCATGTACCATTTTTTGTTACCTTTGCTGTGACTTTACAATAAAACTATAAACTTACAAAAGTCGTCTTAATCCAAACACATTGGCTAATTGTGTTATAAATAGATTAAACAATCCATTTTTAATATTTTTAATAGTAATAGATGATTTCACAATACACAATAGACTAAACATTTCAATACACGTTATTACTAGTATTTATCATGTAAAATATTTCATCATTTAAATAAAATGCAACAAGAGATCTAGAATATCAAATTCTGATTCACTACTAAAGAATACATTATGTTCGTCCCCGTTCTTCATATCCCCGCTTATGCCACATAACATTTACATTTGTTACACTATTTCTTCAAAATTTGAAACAATATCTTGAAATTTGAATATGACATATTTTGAATATTTAAATTGACATTATTCCATCCTCAAACATACATCATTCTCCAGATGCACTTGAAGAAATCATTTCCAATTTTTGTATAATCTTTAAATTTTATTTGTACATGTAGTAGCTTATTTATACCAACAATTGACCACTGGTCACTTAAATGCTAATGCATACTCCTTCATTTTAACCCAATATCATATAACAAATGCATGAAGGGGAAATAAGATTTGTTAAATTAAGGGCCAAGCTCTTTTTCAAGGGAGATAATCAAGAATATATAAAGTAAGTTGCAGTCACTAAAAAAGTTCTCAATAGCCACAGGAGTAGAAGTTCAATTTTGAAACTTTTGTGGTAAATTTCAAACGTAATGTAGTGTTAAATTATAAATTTTTCACAGAAGGGGATCAAATTTGCATCGAAATATTTAAAGGTAAAGATTTTAAAAAAATATTCTCAAAAACCACTGGGCTAAAAAAATTTAAAATTATATAGAAGATATTTTTTGCAGATCAAATAAATTCCAAATTATTAACATCTAGACTCTAGTCGGATGAGACCACAAAAGTAAATGAACAATTTTCTTTAGAATATGGGGGGGGGAACTCTGGGAACAACTGGATCAGATAAGGTGAAACTTGTATGAGAGCTTTCCAGAGAGTGTGTATAAATGTAGATTTACAATTGTTCAAAGCATAGTCCCCGGTGGTGGATTGGGGCTAATATTATGAATCAAAATTTAAAAAAAGGGGAAAATGTGAAGAACAGATCCACAGTTACTCTCGTTAGCACTGGTGCCATTATGAAGCTTCTGTTCGTCAGAAACTTTCAGACTTCTATCATTTTCAAATTGAATATATAGTTATTCATTACTTTTTTCAGGGTTGCTGTGTGTGTGATTGTTGTCATTGTTCTAGTGTCTGCAGTAATCTTGTCAATAATATTTTGGCGGAAAAAGAAATTTCATTGCCCAAAAAGTAAGAATCACTCAAACTTGAATGGAATAATTTTATTCGATCAATATAAATCTTTTGAAAGTTTATACACGAAATTTATTTGATTGTGCAATTTTATTTTACCTAACTTTTTTAACTTTCAGAATTTTTCACTTCTGTGAGTAGAGACACTAAAAAGAATATTTTAAAAATCAGAGAGTCACCTAAAAAACTAATGATCCAGACAAGAGAACTCATAAATGAAGTCATTCCATCACACAAGCGTGGTAAGCGGTGCAAAATAAAATGCTAGTTTTATATCTCACCTTAGCCGAAGGCTTTTCTGATCACATTTTGTCCGTCGTCATTCAATCTGTACACTATTCAAATTTTCTTCTCAAGAACCACGTACGGGGCCAATTTTAACCAAACTTGATACAAAGCATCCTTAAGGGAAGTCTAAATTATTAAAATATGGTGAGTGTCGCTAAAAACCAATTGACCAGAAAAACTTCAACTTATCTGGAATCATCCTGCGGTGGTTTAGATTCTAAATTGTTCAAATCATGACCCCGGGGGTTTTGCGGGGTCACAATGGGGAATCAAAATATTTTACATAGAAATGTATACTAGAAAAAACTTTAAAATTCTTCTGACGAAGAGCCACCGTGTCAGAGAAGCTGAAACATGTGGATGCAGTGTTATTTCTATTTTTTTTAAACCACGACCCCGGAGGTTTTGAGGGGCCACAATAGGGAATCCAAGTTTTACATAGAAATATATCGGAAAAAAACTTTTAAAAAGAATTCTTATTCTCGGAAACTATTGGGCAAGAAAAGCGAACGCATTTTGAATTGTCCAAATTATGAACCATGGTGTAGGGTGGAGCCACAATATGTATTACAAGGGGTGTATCTGGTTAAGAACAGCATAGTCAAAGCTACTCAGACGAACGATGTGGACCATGGGCATTTTATTTCATTTATAATTGCATATCACGCATGCAACATAATTTTAAGCTCTACTGGTCAGAGACCAGAAGAGCTTATGCGATAGTAATGTGTCCGGCGTCCTTCCGTCTGTCTGTCTAGCTGTCTGTCTGTAAACATTTTTTTTTTTTCAAAATGCTACTCCTCCTACAGTTTTGGTCTGATTTCACTTTAACTTATCACACAAGTAGACTACATTAAGATACATATTTCTGTGTTTCGGTTTTTTGATTTTCATGAAAGGTTTTGCCGTGGTTATTAAAAATAGAAATTTCCGTGAAAACATTGAAAGTTCTAATCCTCCTACAGTTTTAATCTTAATTCAGTATAATTTGGCGCACATGTAGACTACATTAAGATACACAATTCTCTCTATCGGTTTTTGATTTCGATGAATGGTGTTGCCATGTTTACTAGTTTCTGTGAAAAACTTAAATAATGCGATTCCAAATACAGTGTTAGTCTTATTATAGTATATGTATAATGTGGCATGCGAGTATTGAACTATGAGATGCATGATCATTATTCTGTTTATTGCTGTTGCGATCTTTCAAGTACCCAACTGCCACTTTTCTTTGTTTAAACTACAAACCGTTAGAGCTACAGTCTGGACACAGACTTCTGGTTTCATATGTTTTTTGATTCATCATTTATGTCTTGCATATAGATTTGATGAAAGACTTCAAAGATCTGCCATTGGCTTAGACCTCAGGCGGGAAATTCCTTGGTTGAAGATTACAAAATGTTTATTCCGGCGTATTCATGTGTGATTAACTTTTTCACTACTCAATACGTTTATGTGTAGAAGACACTAACGAATCAGAAAGATTGAGACTAAGAATTTAGGGTAATAATCATTACAAGAAATTTCATACACAAGTGTACATTCATTACTAATCCCTCCACACGATTATATTCCATTGGCGTCGGAAGGAAATTGAAAGTGGGGGGGGGGGGGGGGAGCTAAGTGCAAAAAAAAAATTATACCTTCAAAAAGGAAACCTGACCAGCCAAAAAAAAAAAAAAAAAGAAATGTCCCAAACACGATTATGTAGGGGGGGGGGGGGGGGTTAGGTTTGAACTTCAGTTCCAATTTCTTAAAAAAACCCACCACTTTCCCCATTTTTAACCTATACTGCTGCGACCTCTCTGTGGAAAGTGGGGGGGGGGCTAAACCTTTGAAACAATGTTCAATGTCTATAATAAGTATATATTTGGAAAAAGGGGGGGGGGGGCTAAGGCCCCCAAGCCTCCCCGGTTCCGACGCCTATGTATTCATAAAACTGTACATTTAAATGAAGGTGAGTTAAAACTACTGCCTCCGAAATGGCTTTCTTTGAATTGTAATATATCTCTGTTTTTCATTAAGTGCTTGTTGAAACATTTTTAGATTGATAACACTCTCTCTCTCTCTCTCTCTCTCTCTCTCTATCTCTCTCTCTCTCTCTTCATATACATATGTATAGTCTTGTCATCCTAATACATAATCATGTGAACAATCTATTATATAAATCATGCTATATGAAAATTGTCCATTAAAATGTCATGGATGTCACAACCCCAAAATAATTTATAAAAAAGAGATATATTATTGATGTATTTTATTGAATAAAAAAATATTCTAACGCATTATTTTTTGTTTCGTTTTCTTTTTAATTTGTTATAATCATAACTAGATGCTGTCATGAGACATTAATACGCGCATTAAAGTGATTGCCTCTAAATTCACACTCCTTCAAATTGGGCTTTACCAAGGAAAAAGTCAATATAATTCAATAATTTACATAATACATGTATTCATCAAATTGAGCATAATATTTTCAGGTAACCATGTGACCCATTGGCCTTGATCTTATAAGTATTTCATATTCTTAATTCATTACAAGTCTGAAATTAAAAACAGAATTTAACTAGAATTGTCCAAACGGGACAAAATACCCCACGCTGGGTTTTTAGGAAGTAAGTTTTTCCATAATAAAGATATGTATCACACATGAATTATGAAATTTTTCTTCCAGTGACCTTGAAATTCCCCAAATGACCTTGGGTCAAAGTCATGACACACCCTTGGGGCATTGGTAATCTTTTTGTGAAATGAGAACTTATCAATTTTATCCATTAGAAAGATATGGACCGGACACGAATTATGATATTTTTCATCCAGTGACCTTGAAATTCCCCAAATGACCTTTGGGCAAGGTCATGACACACCCTTGGGTCATGGGCATTCTTTGTGTGAAATGAGAACCTACCAAATTTATCCATGAGAAAGATATGGAGGAGACACGAATTATGAAATTTTTCTTCCACTGACCTTAAAGTTCCCCAAATGACCTTTGGTCAAGGTCATGACACAGCCTTTGGTCATGGGCAATCTTTGTGTGAAATGAGAACAGACGGACGGACGGACGGACGGACGGACATGAGTAACAACAATGTACCCGAACTTTCTTTAGAAAGTGCGGGTATAATAATTATACTATCATTTAATTTCAAAAGGCATGATTACCATCTAACAGTATGGATTTTTAATTGCGCTCACCTTTGACTTCGAACTAAATACAAGTATCTCACTGTTTCTCCATAGAAAAATAACGATGTCTGTATTGAATCACAATTTATTTCTGTTTAATCCTTTATTTATTCGTCATTTGTGATATATATTTATGCGTTTTATGCATTGTTATTGAATTTAAGCAAATGGAAAAAAAAACTTTATTATCTCAGTGAAGTACTTGTTATACTATTCATTGCGATCATAAACCATGCACCATGATCACAAAGTAACAAACAATTTGTATGAAAAACGCCAGTCCATATTTGCTTAATGATAGATTATATTTCCTAAAGAGGCCGGGCAATGTATCGACGATAATACTAACAAATATATCGGCCTTAAACGAGACTCCTAGTATTCTTGTTTCATCAACTAATTTGTCAAAAGCTTTCTTCTTTCAGAAAGAACGAGGGCGTTTTTAATGTGTATTCGGCACGAATTTATATGATATTTTAGCATTTTAATGATACTCCAGGATACTGTGTGATAGAAATAAATAAGAATATCTCGATATTATGTCCCAATCTGCTAAAAACAGTAATGAAATATGGCAAGAGTTATTTTGTTAAAAATGTTACATTTTTCAACACTTTTTACTTTTTGTTATCTCTGGGTCGTTACTCCACGAAATCAAAATTTGATTACTGTGCATTTTTACTTAAGGAAACTATCAAACATTTCTAAAAAAAATGTAGAGAAGACCCAGAGACTATTAAAAATGAAGTTTTTCCCCCCAAAAAATCGATTGGCTTTTAAGCACTGCTACATTATACTCTTTAAAACTCGAATATTTCGAAGCGGTGATGGCTCAGTGGTAGAATAGCTGGTTTTTAATGCCAAAGTATCGAAACGTTTGGTTTCGATCCTCTCACGGAACACTTTTTTTTATTATTTAACTAACAATGCAGGTATTTGTCAATTGTTCACATTTAATATATATATTCAATTTTGATCTTTTTTTGTTGATATTTATTTTTTTTTTTATAATATAAGCCAAAAAAGCGTTAATGCGGTACTGTTTACATAACATGTGAAAATGGTGCCCCCATTGAAGTATGGGTGTTGTGTCGGTAAAAAGCAACTGAAGACTAAAAAGAAGCGCCCACTCAGCAAAGCCATTGCAAAAATTTTACACGCTAAAGGTATTGCTACTGTACATGTTCTTCTGACTCAATATGCGACACATACAGAATTTCGTTAAAAAGAGATTTAACTGTACAGAATAGTCCAAAAGTGAGTACCAAAATTGAATTGCCAATAGTGTCAGCAGGAAAGTGCAACAAAAGTTGTGTAATATGTAGACGCACGCGAATAACATTGAAAGTTATTCCAAAAGAGGCCAGAATGGACCTCTTTATCCGGTTGGTGTTTTCATCCCCGCTGGTGTGCGTTGTACATGTTGTCCACTTCATTTGACTGGCAAACATATAAAGCCCTCAGTTCACTGTGAAATATCTACATTCAGGAAAAAGAGTACAACTCTGTCTTCTACTTAAATATTGCAGTTGTTTGAAGGGTTGAGAAATGTTGCATCTGTCTCTGAAAACCGTCGAATGTGTTTTGATAATCACACAGTGACTGATGTTGACTACCAATCACTTCTAGGGATTTCTAAATGTCAGTTCAATGACCTTCACAAACATATCACATCAATGGATAATTCTAAAGAAAAATCAAACGAAATGCTTTGGGTATTTTCCTCTTCAAAATGAAGCACGGTCTTTCAAATGCTCTGATCTCTACGGTGTTTGGATTTGGTAAATTGCCCATATCATTAAACAAACCATCTCGGAGTGGCTCTTGTAAATCAATCTAACCTAGGATTCAATCATCTTTCGCGTGAATCTATCATAGGTACACATACAACAGACATTTCAAAGCAGTTGTTCACAGATCCTATATCCGACATCGTCATTTTGGTAATGAATGGAACATACGTATTTATTCAGAAAAGTTCTGCATACAAAGGACAAGATAGGGTAACAGCCGAATCTGCATGGCCCCTTATTTGATACAAAAATCAAAACACTGGTAAAATTGTGATAGTTTGTAGTTAAGAAGTTAAAATGATGATTACTTTAAGACAAGCACTTATTTGGATTCAAAGTTTAATTGGAAGCCACCAGAGGGTGCAGAAATAGGACATTTTCCCGAATTTCCTCAATTCTATTGAAATTTAATCATATTTTGGATACATTTCTTTTCGGAAAACATAGAGCACAAGCTTGCCTATCTGAGATTTTTACACATAAACTGCATCTTATGTCAGTGTATAAAATATATAGATTTGGTAGATAGGCAAGCGTGTGCTCTATGTTTTCCGAAAGAAAATGTGCCGTAAAATTAATGAAAATTTGCATAAAAATGAGAAATTTCGAAAATTGACCTATTTCCTGACCTCACTGTGACCCCTGTATATACTAAATCTTAAAACCAACACTCATTTTGTGGCATGGGTGACTACAGGTTTTTATGGATAAACTGTTGGATCATTCTGAAATACACCGAAAATAGGGGGCCAAATACTGGTCTTATCGTATCTTGTCCTTTCAACGCCTTAACTACTCAATGCACAAGAACAGACCAATTGTAAAACCGTTTATTATCACCTCAACAACAGGCTATATTGTTGATGTAATGGATCCTTATTTGTCCAATGGCAAAAATAATGATGCTTCCATAATTAAACATATCATGAAAAAAAGGAACAACATAATGAACTTCCTCAAAGAAAATGACGTATTAATTGTAGATCGCGGATTTAGAGATACCGTTGAATTTCTTGAGCTTAGTTATCAAACAAAAATGCCCGCTTTCCTACAAAAGTCCTCTAAGCAACACAACACAGCAGAGGCTAACATGTCACGTATTGTGAAAAAAGTCCGCTGGGTAGTTGAGGCAGCAAATGAAAGAATTAAAAAATGAAAGTTTCCAGACAATGTTATCCCTAACAGCCAGATACCTAATATAAAAGGTTTCTTGCAAATCGTGTGTGCAATAATGAATAAATACAGGCCCCCTTTAAAAAGCAACGATCAAAATGATGACGAATTAGCTCGCAAAATGAGACTAACAGCCCTAGAAAATAGAAAAAAACTGAGTTCAAGAAAGCATCAGAAAATATCCAAACTTAAAATTCAGAGAAAATAAAAAAAGTGAACTAATATGGAAGCACAAAATGCATTACCAGAATTTCCTAAGTTAAATGAAGATGAATCGCGTATGCTGACTTTTGGGGGGTACCAAATTAAACAAGCCCGAAATTATTTGGATGAAGACTTGGGGGAGGGTGACTATAAAATTGATCTTTCTTTCGAGCAATCAGACTTACTTAATATACGTATATAATCACGACATACGTCAAGAAAATCATGCAATATCTGGATTGAGTATTCCAAGGAAAATGTGACAGGGTGGTATTGTGAGTGCAAGGGTGGTTCAAGAACAGTCGGATGTTGCGCACTTATATGCGGTAGTGTGGTACCTTGCGTTCGCACAACACAAGGGCTACCAGGCTGCTACTGAAATATTCACCTCTTCACTGTGCGATGCAGCTGATGTTGCAGAAACAGATTCTAGAGAAGAATCCGCTTAATGTTGATATTTAATGTAATTTGTCAGATACTCAAATGTAATTAAAATTATTTAATACGTTTGCTGTTCTTAAAGTTCTCTCTCTCTCTCTCTCTCTCTCTCTCTCTCTCTCTCTCTCTCTCTCTCTCTGAACGCTCTTATTTCCAACTGCTGAAATCTAAAATGCGTTGATTTACTCTTTTTAATCTTATATAAAGTTATAAAGGTTATATAAGATGTGTTATAACATAATATTAGAAGAGTGATAGTTCCTAAAACTACTTTATTATAAAGTAACATTCCTTGATGTGCAGAACTTTTGTCTGCTTGACTTGGCATTTAAACTATGAATTATTCGTACAACCGATTCCTGCAGATTACACGCCAAACACGCCCATGTTCTTTGTGTGTATATGGATCATGTTCTAGCGTATTGGATCAACTGCGTATGCAGATGATAAAGCTGTTTGTTGAATTTTAACTATCTTAACCTGTCTTGGTTTTCTATCTGCATGCCTAAAACGTTGTTCCATCGTCGCAAACCATGGGCAAAATGTACGATCCTCTCCCATTTTGGCTGTGGTTGAACGAGTAGAGAATCTTTCGTAGCTTATAAAAATTATTGACCAATGCGAGTAAAGCATAGTTGGATGATAAACTTTATTGCAACCTTTCAATATCCAATCGCAAAATAGGAAATAAATCTTGTATACTGTTGACGTCAATTGTTGATTTCAATTGCGATGGAAAAAAAATTGCCACTGACTGCATATGACGTCAAAATAGGGAGGTGTAAATATTCAAGATTACGACACTTTTTGTGATCAAGCAGCCACGGATAGGAGAAAGCTTTATGTGGACTCCAAACCGTGGCTTGAGAGAGAAGTATTTGCGGACTCCGAACCGTGGCTTGAGACGATGACGTTGTTCCTGCTAAAACATTAGTCGAGAGTCCAATCCCTGGCTGAGTAGGCCCAATTTACATGTAGTTTCTTGCTTAATGTATACCACCTAGTTTACGTAAGAATTTGCAATGTTTAACTATTTTGGGCGGTACAGTAACACATAATAAGTTCGAAAAATATTATTTTTAGCAGAAAAGTCATGATCACAGGGTCATCGACCTTGGTATCATATGAAAGAACTTAATTAGCGAAATATGCATACCAAATATGAAGTCTCTATCTCCCATGCTTCAAAAGTTATGTTTAAGGTTAAAAAGCTATTTTTATCATATAGGTCACAGTCAAGGGCGAAAGGTAATTGACATTGGTGTCATGTGAAAGGGCTTAATGAGTAAAGTACGCAAACAAAAGATGAAGTCTCTATATTTTATTGTTCAAAAGTTATGGTAAAGTTTAAAGTTTGAAGGACATTGACATTTATATCATCGTTTAGAACTTAATAAGTAGAATATGCATACTACATATGAAGTCTCTTTATTTCATGGTTGAAAAGTGAAAGCTATTTTTAGCATATAAGTCAGAGTCAAGGTCATTGCCGTTGGGGTGTCATTTAAAAGAGATTTATTACTGGGATATGCATACAAATTATGAGGTATTTCTCTTGCATGGTTCAAAAGTTATGGCAAAGTTTGCAGACAAGCAAACAAATAAACAAACAAAGGGAAAGACAGGACAAAAACAATATGCGCCCCGGATCTATTGACCAAGGCACTTAAAAATAATGCTGCATATACAAATATATACTATATCATTGTTCATAAAATGGCAGGGGATGCTAACTCCTCCATGGTACCTGATCCTGTCTCTGATGTTTTGGAGATCTGCGTTTGCTCTGCTCCATTTTTTTTACTGTTTTCTGTACTTTTTGTATTGAATATTGTTTGTAATGTTCATATGTTTTATGAATGAATGCGATATTTTAAAACGGATATAATTTATAACATATAGTTTGACATACGTGCATATCCCCAAATGGATATTTTGCCTAGTTTTTTCCTTGATGAAGAGATGTAGTCCAGTTCATCCATACTTTAAAACTGCCTTGTTTTAAAGAAAATTTTGTATGAAAAAAATATATATGTTCCCCAACACAACTTTCATTTATAATAATTTAAAACTAAACCTTACTGTGTGATTTTTCTTTCGTGTTCTATTTCAATATGTAATCCAATAAATCAGAATTAGCAAAGTGGATTGAAATAGGTTTTGAATCATCCAATCAATCATATTATAAGTAGCCAATCAGAGTTAATATTTTAGCGAACCAAATGATCAGAATTTTTAACTTATCAGTAGTAATTTAGCAAAGGGGAAATAGTATAAATAAGGGGTCATTCTATCTTCGCTTACTTTTGGTGTAACTCTTTGTCGGAGTTAGGTGACTTGGGAAGGGTACCCGGGGTGTGTCGGGAAACAACATAATTGTTATTTAGACCACTCAGCCAAGTGACCCAGTTCCCTAGTGTCTTTGTGACTAGCTATGGTGTCTCGGTGACTTTAGCTTGGGTCTTACCAACGGTAATAGGGTCCTGTTAAAAGCTATGGGGTCTTGGTGACTTTAGCATGTGTTTGTGTGTCTTAAGATGTATCTGGACTTTATGATTTTTAGGGTGTGTTTTAGGGTAATTTCAGACTGTGTCGGGAAATAACAGAATCGTTCGCTTTACCACTGAGTTTGCAGTTACATAGATATATTTTACATTTGATTATTTTGGTTGATTGTAAGTGATTCTTTCGTAACAGCTCGTTGTTCTTTAGTTTACTAATCATTATCCAGATAGGACCAAGGAAAAAAATATATGTAGTTAATTCAAGTCAGTTGTTGTCATTGCTATCTACGTTTGTTTTGATTTTATATCATAAACGTGATTCTTAGGAAGGAAACCTCAGCGAACAAAATAGATAATTATTTGTACTTTGTAAAAACGTTATAGTAGCATGACTTGTACATGTACTAGACCGCAACTGTTGTTTTTTCTACTTCTCTGATTTCGCTATAAACTGTATTTTCTTTGCAATTTGCTTGATATCTTGGAAATTTTTTGCGAAATATAAAGGACCCTAATGCGATAACAGTAATGCAAAGTAGCACTCCAAAAACTACTAAACATGTTTGCAGAACATTCAATCTTCTTCTTTGGAATTGTCTCACATTGGGGAGATAGGTTGATGAAAAATTCAATGTAGAATATCTTTGTATTGTCTGTCGAGGTGTCATCTTACTATTTTTAGAAGAATATGCTGTAGCGATCTTATTGTTTTCTTCCAATGACACTGGAACAGACAAAATAGAAAAAAGAAAATATAAACCTTCAGGTTACTTTCCCATTGTTCTGTTTGGCAAAAATAGTTATTTACATTTAGAAGAAAAAAGTAGACTTGTAACAAATCAGGAAAAAAAAAAAAATTTGTAGATGTTGCATTCCAAGACTACAAACTAAATAGCAAAATATTTAAAGGTAGGAGTAATCATACATCAGCTGTTATAATCAAAAAAGTAACTTAAATGACATACAATAAATTATAATTTTCATCTTGAAATTACGAAAACTATTTCTTACATTTAAAGTTGGATTACAAAAATATTATAATTACAAAAAGAATTGCAAATTAAAGATTTTATTTATTATGTTGAAATTTTGAATTTTTTTTTAAAATCTCACCATCACTCTCTCTTATTGTTTGCAAGCACCCTGTTGAAATATTACAGAACTCTACGGTGCAGTTACACATGTTCAAACATCTTATTCCATAGTATGGATATTCACAAGGTACTTCGCAAAAAATGCCTATGTGTCCGATCTCGCATTCTGTTAAAAAAAGCAATGGAATTAAAGATATCCGAATCAAAAATTGTTTTAGATTAATTAAAAGGAAAGTAAAAATTGATTAATTTACCGATGCATTTTTTCAGCCTTTCATTCCAAACAGTGCCAACGCAGCATTTGTTAGGACTGAAAAAGAACATATGGTACATTTTAATTGTAAAACAATAATTGTGCCTTTGTATATAAAAGGTGATAAGGCCATGAAGGGAATGTTTTAATTTTCATAAATATAATGCAAATGTATTTCGTTTGGCTGTGTATTCTTTTTAGCGCCGTTTGCAGAAAGGAACTTCCGCTATTTCAATTGCAACGCTAAATTCCTAGCACATGTGGATAAAAATAGAAATTTAGGTAAATGCACTAACTCCAATCTTCGATAACTTGTTCAAAAATAATTTTCCGCATAATATCGTACGTACACGCTTGATATGATATATTTACAGTTTGTTGCGTTCTGATTTGGTGATAGTCTTCCTCATTTAAATTAATATCAGAAAATGTTTTTAAAATCCATTGATTGCTATCAGCAGTTGTTTAAGATTGATTGATTGTATGTTATTTTACGTTCCAAATAAGATATTTTTTACTCATATAGAGATGTTTTAAAATTAATAAATAAAAAGCCAAAACAATAATTAAGTGTATAATGGTTAATATCTTCTAATTAATACCTATACATCGCACTCAGTGACATTGAGCGGTAGGGATTCTTTATCGTACCAGAACTTAACACGTGACCTCAGTATTTTAGGTAAAATCTTTCCCCTGAAATAGTTATTTTTTTTAATTGTTTAGGTCAATTGCAGTCGTGTTTTTAAGAAACTACCTTCCAAAGACGGACCAAATATCATAAATTACAAAGTTTATGCTCTGTTGGCAACAAAGTAAGATTTTTAACGAATTGTGGATATTATTAAACATTATTTCCCTCGCATGATGTTTTGATATATCATATACTAAACATTAAAACTAAATACTATGCCTAAAAAAATATATTAAAATTACTGTTGTTATTGTAATGTTAAAAAATAACAAACATTTTAAATCAAAATACTTTTACATGTATTCTTTTTCCCAAAGAGCACACATAAAGGTGATCAGAAGAGGTGTTTAGTCCATCATACATTGTTTACGTCCGAGAAACTTAATTTGTTATCACACTTAATGCATTGGATTTCAAAGGTTTTCAGTTTATAACACAGAATACTGCTGGTGCAAAAGAAATAGTTGCATACATGTTTGTTACATGTAAACTCAGTTTTAATTTATAGTTGCATTAACCTTGCTTATATTTATTCATGATAACGACTACTTACTTATCATGACACATTCCATCTATAACCTGGTATTTAAAAGTATCAAACATAATAAACCAGAAAAATATCCCAATTGATTTAGACATTCTTTAAACTGTAACAAAGTAAATCAAGAAATTCCAATTTAAAGTCAATTTGGGATTAAACTTGTATTTCCGTATATACATAATTATATGTACTTGTAAGTATATTAATATAAGGAAATAACGTTAATGACAGTTTTCAGTACATTACAATGTTATATGTATTCCCAATAACAGTTTAGTAACTTATCAAAATTAGTTGAAACGTACACATATTTTTCGAAAAATAAATACACAAAAACACACAGAGGGCGATAAAATAACCACAAAATCCTAAGAAACTTTTCAAGGGGAAGCACCTCTCTCCCGATTTTGAATTATTTGAACCTAGTAACTTGGATTCTGTGCTTAGCAATTTTTATGCATAGGGAAGAGTAATCTAATATTTATTGACCTAATAAAAAGATGCAATAGCTTACTAAAATTACAGGTATCGCCCCACAGTCAATAGGAGCTACATGTAATTGAGTGAAAGTCTCAAATAATTTCATTTAGATTTTTCTTCATTAGGGGTATGCAAATTTTTAGGTTGATGGATTTTTTTCTAAGGGCAAAATGGTCATTTTTCAACATCGGAAAATGACCCCCGCTCAATTAATATTTATCACCGAGTTTTTGGTGATATTTTTGTTTGTTGATGTAATGACCTGAAAATAGGACAGGAGACGATTAAAGTTTACGTCTTTATTTCTGAATGTCCGAAGAATAAGTGTTAAGATATAATCATTCGCAATCACAAAAATAATGCCAGCAATAACACTTTAAAAATCACAAATGTGAGGTGGCATAAATGATATGACATGTGCATAGTTCACCTTTAAGACAATTTCACACATTTGATAACAGATTAATAAAACAATTGCTTAAG